TCTCTCTCACTCTCACTCTCACTCTCTCTCTCACAGGAACAGCACAGTGTGCTCTAATCCTCATCAACTAAAAACTAAAGACGTGTTAGGCCGAATATACGCGCATTCTCTTACTGTAATATTGTTTGAAGATGTGAACTATGCAATGATATATTTTTTTAAAGTCTCCTTATTATCACTTGATTCCATGTTTTGTGGCGTTTATAAATTTTGTCGATATTAAATGTCAACCCTGCTACCGTGATTTTATAAGTGAACTATTAATCATCGAGAGGATGGATATTTGTTCAAACAATTTTGCAAAACTAAAAGTCAAATTAAACTGTAGCTGTCAGCCTTGAAACATGTAGGTTATTAAAATTACTTAGAGCATATTTATTAACTAAACATAGGATTTCTAAAATTTCAGGGTGTGAAAACTTAAGGAACTTTAAGGAAGTTTTTCTATGAAAAAATTTACTAAACCTTTGGAAATTTTTGGAAATCAAGCTCGGATGCTTCAACCGTTTAGCGTACATAATGGCAGAAATATATATATAAAAAAAAGTATTTAAAAAAATAATTTTTAAAAATTAAAAAAATGAAAGTTAGCTTACATGAGGGTGACATTTTCGTAATTTGATCAAACAGGGTGGAACAAAACAGGAAAAGGAACTGGCTTTAGTTCATGTGATGCTATAAAAGACTAACAGGATGGAACTTGATATTGATTACCAATTATAATAATCTTCCTAAGAAAACGTGTTTGGTTTGAAACACTTTGAAAGGAACAACGAAGAAACACTTGGGATGACATTTTTTAAAAACTTTTTTTTTTTTTTTACTCAGAAGTTTTATAAAACATAAGGCAAACGCTGGCATCCAAATAAAGCAGACAAATAGTTTAAAATTCACCCCATGTTAACTTAATTGTGATATTTATTTATGTTATTTTAATATTAACTGTTAGTATTCAAGTAAACTTTTAAATCAGCAACTATTGTAATATAATACTAATTAAATAGGTACCAGGTAAGTTAGAGATGTAACGATGAACCGCGAGCCGGTTGAAACTCGATTAAAATATGTGACGATTCAAATCGGTTGAGATGCTAAACAAATCGCGATTCATTTAGGTGTAGGAGTTTATATGAATCCATGTCTGAGGGGAACTTACTGTCTTTAGAAAAGTTTAGATGGTATTTTTTCTTTTCCTCTTGCCTCTGTATAACGCATATTAAAGTTCATAAGTGCAGCGCTGCCTTGTTTACAGCGGTAACCAAGGAAACACTGTATCATTGCTGTTCATAAGTGCAGGGCTGCTTTGTTTACAGCGGTAAAATTTCAATGTAGTTTTGTTATTTACATTTGCATTATATTTCATTTTTGTCATTTAGCAGACGCTTTTGTCCAAAGCGACTTACAAATGAGGACAATTGAAGCAAACAAAACCAACAAAAAAGCAATAATATGCAAGTGCTATATTATTATAGTGTTATATTTCAATTTCACAAAGAAATGTGCAGCATTTTGTCCAAGCAATAATAAAAGGACACATTTAATTTATAATTTGTCTTAAATCTCATTTTGTAAAAAATAAAATAAAATCGTGAATCGAATCGTGAGTTGAGTGAATCGTTACATCCCTGGTACCAGGTTATTTCTATCCTAACTTGTAATAGCCAGAAAAATTTGAAATTGTGAATGCGAGTATTCAAATATATTGAACTTGGAGCGCAAGAATGATATAAATGCTTAATTTAACCCTTATTGCTTCTTTGTAATATTTGTTCCAGGTGTTATTGGAGGATTTTGATAGATCAACTTGCTAAAATGCTAAAAAATAAATAAAAATGATGCAGTTTTCTCATGTCAGTTTCTGTGCCAGACTTCATGGCCGCAGAGGAGAACGAGTGCGTGTCCCGGCAGGACTCCGAGCTCATGAGGGCATGGGAGCTGGAAGCCATTCTGACCAATCGCACGCTGCGCTTCGTGTTGCGCTTAGAGCAGCAGTTCGTGTGCCCGTCCTGCGGCGGGATGGTCCTGAACCCTCACCAGACGGGCTGCGGGCACATCTTCTGCGCTCGGTGCGTGAGGGCGTACATGTAAGAACTATTCATTGGTTAAATAAATTAAACAATTTGTTTTATATCAGCAAAGATAAACACAATTTTCTGCTGAAAGTGCATTGCATGCAAATGCATCTAAAATGATCTGGCAATGTGTAAACCTTCCTCTTTTCAGTAAAAATGGAGGAAGTTCGAAATGTCCTTTAGACAGCATCCCTATAAAATCAGAAGAGGTGAGAATATTAACATTTTAAATGCATATTTATGTGCACTTATTGGAAGTGTAGCTTTATTTGCCATTATATTCTACTGAATAGCAATTCCAATGCTTGCAGATTTTTCAAGACAACTGCTGTAAAAGAGAACTGCTAAACTTAGAGGTCTACTGTACCAACGCACCAGACTGCGCACAGAGGGTTACTTTATGCAACCTTCAGGTAAAGGGCCAAACATGTTATTGATGATGAAAAAAGCATCTGTTTCCATCATTCAGAGCTGAGTATTCACAGTACGACCTCTCTTTCTCAGGGTCATCTGAAAGCTTGCCAGTATGAGCGGCTTAGATGTTCCAACTCAGGGTGCAACGACACCGTGTTACGCAAAAACCTGCTGGACCATCAGAGGAAGGTCTGCTCGTTCCGGCTGGAGTCCTGCCACCACTGCAGACAGCCGTTCCTCGCATCTCACCTGCAGGTCAGAGCGCTTCCCTGCCTCAGCAGAGTCATCTGAGCTGTGCTTGTGCCTAATCTTGCCTCTAAACTACGACAGGCCCATCAGAAGACCTCATGCCCTGAAATCCAAGACCCATGTCCCAACAAGTGTCCTCAGATGATCAGAAGACACAAGGTCTGGCACAGTCAGATACTTCACTCCACTTTAAGAAAGTTCTGTTCTAATGAACATTGTCCTGCCTCTTCAGATTAATATGGAGCACCTAAGGAGACACAATGATGGAAAAAATATGCCACAGCAAATAATATTTTAATGCGTTTAAGTGTCACGTTCGGTTCCCCTATGAAACTTTGCATTCTCTTGCAAAAGCAAAATATAGGCCTGATTTATCTTCCCACCTCATATTATTTCCATTACAAAAGTTTTGTGAGCAAACCCAACATTTCTCGGGGAAACGCAAAGAGAGACGAGAACTCAAAGCATTGAAATATTTTTCCTCCCGTCTGATTTTTAATCATCACAATAGTTTTGAGAGAGAACGCAAAGCTGTGCAAGCGAATGGGAAATAAAATTTTTTAAAAAGCTTAAAAGCTATGGGAAACCCTACCTGCTGATGGAAAAGCTATATTTCGTTTGCTTGCAAAACAATTGCATTCCTCCAAGAAACGTGCAGAAGCACTAAAATCTAGTTTATCCTCCCACCTCATATTATGTCCATCACCAGTTTTGCATTGTCTAAGTTTGGAAAGAACGTGAAAGATTAGTGAGCTAATTAACAGTTCACGGGGTAAGGCTAAAGTTTTGCGAGCATTAAAAGATAATTTTTCCTCCCATCTCATATTTTTCCATCAACATGGCTCCTTAAACCGCTCCATGAACAGCTACAGATATTTTAATTTGCTCATGGCTGCTTGTTGATCCTCATTGCAGCTGCAAGCTCATGCTGACGAGTGTCTTGAAGTGGAGACTGACTGCCTTTATAAAAACTATGGCTGCACATTCAGAGTAAGAAAACAGTATAATTTAACACAGAACCAAGTGAAAGTGTCTTTTGTATCGCTGTTTAACGAGCTGCCGTTCAGTGAATGTTTCCGTTTGCCTGGAGCTGTGATGCACTTGCAGATCTCAGCCTTCGAACTCTGTCTTTCCTCCAGGATAAAAGAGGGAAAGTGCAAGTTCATGAAAACACAGAGTTCAGTTCCCATGTTCGGCTGGTTCTGGAAAGTAACACCAAACTTGAGACACAGGTATGAAACTGGCTCTTTGTAAAACACGAAAAGAAATCATGGAGAAATTCTGGCTCATAAAACACTATTTCCAAGTACATAAAAGTTATAACAAAAGGGATTGCTGTGTTCTCGGATGCTGAATAGATTTGCCTAAATAAAAATATTTAATGTAACACACAACTGGTAGGTGGAGCAGCTGCAGCAGGATATGTTAGTCCAGCAGGGGGCGCTGAAGGACAAAAGTTTTGTGGTCAGCAATCTGGACCGGGACATCACCTTGTGTGACAGCACACTTACTACCTTACAGGTAAGGAAACCCTTCGTCAAACTAGTCCGTATAAAAACACAGCTAATTGCCCTGTCATTTTAGAAACAATGTCTTCTATATTTTTCATAAACCCTCATAATACCAAGTTAAAGGAACCGTTGACTTGTTTTTGAACATATAGCAACAATAATTTTCACTAAAGTGTAAATATAATTGATATATCATATAATCACCAATCAGTGTACATTCATTCATTATTGCCAGTATTTATGTGGTCGTAGTGGCGCTGTGATTAAAAGTTGTAATAGCTTGACTAGCTTGAATATTTAAATTCACCTACTGTACATTCCTGTGTAGAAAGCTGTTTTGGTGTATGTGTCATTAGCTCTGTTTCCACCCAAAGTTGCGCATTTAACTTTTACGAAAAAATTGAATATCACATAAAACATTTGCAAATTAACGCACTGATCCCATCCAGTGTTGGGTAAGTTACTTTCAAAAAGTAATT